GCTTTTTTGAAAAAAAAAGAAAAAAAAAAGAGGGAGAAAAAAGAATTGTTTACCGAGAACCCCACAACTACGATAACATCTCCAGAACAGGGAAATATATATATAATCTTTGACGCACGTTACATGCAATGCATTTCAAATCCGTCTATCTTTGGATATAGAGCTTTAATGATATTGACAAGATTCTTGTGATGGCTACAATCACTTTAACAACGAATGAAATAAAACGAAATTTGTTGAATGAGGCAGTATTAATTTACGTGATGTATTGAGCTATTTTATCGTTGATGTATTACTTTGAAAATAATAATTTTAGAAATAGAGTCATCCATTGAATTGATGATGATGATGAATTGTCGTCGTCCATGGTAAACGACATGTAAATTTTTCCGGAAAAAAAACAAAATTACAGAGCTTAGTGGTATTGTCATAATACTAGTAAACCATTTCAATAAGTTTTCGTTTTTTTTCATGTTTCACCTGGACGAATCAGCTGGCCGTAAGTACTTTAAATTCAGACTGTGATCTATTTGTGTGTCGTCTCAATATGTACTAATACAATAACAGCATTAACCAACTGTCGTATAAGTTGTTTTTAGTCTTTTTAAGAGGTTCACATGTAGCCATCAGGGACAATTAAACATGATTGAAGTATGAAAAAGGGTTTTTTATCGGAATAATGAAAAAGAATGAGGCATCATCATCATCATCATTATCAGGTCGAGTTTGCTCGGTATTCCATGACACTCTCCCTCCACCTTTCTCTGTCTTCCATTGCAATTGGTAGTTCTTCAATTCTGCATCCTGTGTCATTCATCAATTGGTAAATGTAGGTCTTTTTTTGGGCGTCCTCTCGGCTTATGTCCATGTGTTGGCTTCCAGAGGAATACATTCCCTGCTGGTTCTTGTTTACTGAAGCATAACAAAAGAAAATTCAGCTGATTTCCTCCTGCTTGATAGGGAGGATAAAAACAAAAGAATTAAATCCATCTAGTTTTTCTTTGATTTCATTTTTTTTATCATTTTTTCCTTTGCCTTATTTCAAGAAAGCTGATCGAAATTCGTGGAAACTCTATTGACCGTAGTAACGTGTCCCGTCCTTTTTCCTTATCAACCCCCTTTTAATTCCCAAATGCCCTTTTTTAAATGTCTTGCCTTTTCCTAAAAAATGTTATAATTTTAAGCCCTTAAACCTACGTAAAAGTTCATTCATTTTTGAACAAAAAAAATAGAAAATAAAAAAAAGGCAAGGCTAAGGGTAAGCAGCAACCTTCTACTTTCTGAAGAAAATGTGGGTTAAATTTAATAAGGTGGCACGGCTGTAACAACAGTAATTTGATAAAAATAATCAGATATGTCGTAGAATAGGCTATTAGTCGTGGTAAATAACACTTCAAAGGGAAATATAATTGTTTGTCTCACGATGTGGTCACCTCGGTGTGGATCGCGACGTTGTGACTGCATTCTGCCAGTTTTCTTCAGGAGATGAGGTCGATTGAGTACGCTTCACCTATGTGCTGTTGAGCGCAGCAAAACTATTTAACGGATAAAAAACTCGGTAGCCTCCATTTTTCTCCAAAACAATATGATAATCTATTTGTCCCTGGACATGGTTGTTCTTCGAAGCTCACATTTTTCGAGCTTTGCCTTCAGAAATCTGTTTATTCTCGAACAAACCATGTCCGCGGACTAACATCCAAGACTATTTTAGCACCAAAAGGAGGCTAATGGTTATTAATAATCGGAGAGTCAAACTGAACGTTGCATTGTGCACCACCATGTCTTGACTTTCAGTTTTTGGTTGTTCATTTCCTTTGTCTTACGAGCAGAGGCTCAATGTTGCATGTCTTTCAATAAGCAATCATTGGGTGAGCTTGAGCAGGATAAAATAGATTATGAAAACGAAAACCCATCGAGGTCTGAGTTATTAACACAGACACAAGGTTTGATGATTTATGATCTCATGCGAAAACCAAATAACCCATTTCAGAATCGTTAAGTGGCTGCATCGAATTCTCGCGTGGGAGCGAGGCTAAGTGCTCACTTAGCGGCGCGAAAATATAAGTGTTCTTAAGAATTTCTAGAAGTTGTAACACAAAAAATAAGAAAAAAATAAGACTAACCACAATATGGTTCGTTGCTCAGAAGCTTTGTATCGGTAGACTAATCGTAACCTGGAAGACCTGTCTTTCTTCGATTTCCTATGGACAAACGATTTTCTGTTTTAAGTTGAAATTCTGCCGTAGAGCTGATAGCAAGTTCGAAGAAGAGCAAAGGGAGGCAATAACTGGCGAGGAACACAACTTAAGGAATTATAACGAGTATTCTGCTAATGATTCTCATCGAAAACACTCAACGGTTGACGTGTCTTAAACGGTTATGCAACACCAGCAACATTTCAAATCCACGAAAAAACTGAAAAAAGAATGAACGTTGAGATAAAGGTACTGAAAAACCATCTTCGCCGAAAGGGTCCTATGTCAAATAAAAAAAATTTAATAAAAATGTAAAGCGCAGCGATATCCAACAGTGGCAAAACGACCAAGAGGAGTTAACTCGGTTACGCCAGGAAATGAAGCAATGCAGCATAAACTGCAAGAAAAGCCTACTACAAACGAAAATTGTTTGTGAAGGATGTTTTAAAAAAACCATGAATCAGTTAGGTTCCGTAATGGTATATCAAACATCTAATAAAATATACTAGGACGAAAGAAACTTTTGAGACTTGAATAGGAATCTGTTATGACTCTTGTGAGTTTAAGACTTGGGTAAAATGGGGAGGCGCATGGCCGAAATATTTCCTCCGTCACAAATTACTCGTTCTTTCATTACCCAGCCGTGCTCTTTATGTAACATTCATATTACTCCTCTGGCAAATTAAAGAGGAAATAAGAAAATATCGTTCTCACTCTACCCAGGAAAGTTGATCGTAATATATTTTTATGAAATGTTGATCAAAGAGCTATCCTCACCCTAAGTGTGGAGAGCAGGTAATTTAGTGTTAACAACTGGGTTGAAACGTAAATTAGCCACCATAAAGGGTAAAAAAGCTGACGTTTCGAGCGTTAGACCTTCGTCAGAGCTCTGACGAAGGGCTAACGCTGGTGGTGGCACTCTGGTCATAACAGACATACCACGTTGCTTAAAAGGACACAAAAACAAGTTAAAATAGGTTGCAGTGTTTATATTTACAAAACAACACGCATACACTCAGAAACAATTCCTGCAGTTTCTCCCGAAATTTAGTATACGGAACCCGATGAACTAACCTTCTTTCTGCAAATTTGTTTCCGTCATTAATGATGTTACGCTCTTATGGACCACAACGGTTTTGAGCGACAAACTCGACATTTCCCTGCGACCATCAAAATCAACTGGACAAACCCAGCTTGATATATTGCGTGAGTTTTAAGCGGATGCAAAAATCGAGACAAAAATTCGTTATGACACAATTTGTCCTTTGATTTTGTCAAGAGAATTCTGGTTTTGTCTGCTATTGCAGATAGCCCAGATAGGCACTTACGAACCAATTTTTAGTTAAATAATAGCCTTCACTCTCGAGAAATTGCAAATATATTACTCATGTGATACGTATCCAACTTAAATTAAAAAAAACTTCAAAAACATCTCCAGTCAGTCTGGCTTTCTTTTACTGCCTCACATTTTCCCTTGTGCTGTGGCTGTTAACAAGTACCTCCACCGCATTTCTAATGTTTCTTAAAGTGTTCAGATGTTTAGAACATACCAATAACTGTTACATCTTTTTCCATATCGTGGTCAAACTGACCGTAAAGAAACAAAATTAACTTGTAATCGAGGATTTCGCTGGATAGCTGGTAGTACTTCGAATAACTCGATACGTCGTCCCAGGAGAGAAATCAGGGCTTAAATATCCAAAGCCACTCCAATCTTTGCTTTCCGTGAATCAAGTAAACCTTTTTAAAAGTTAAAATTCTCATTAAAATGAATAAACACTAACTAATTTTGGTTTCAATTTGTAGAACCCTCGAAACAGGCCATATGGCAAGAGGAAAAATTTGCACAATCACGTCACGCAATATATCAAGTTGGGTTTGTCCAGTTGATTTTGATGGTCGCAGAGAAATGTCGAGTTTGTCGCTCAAAACCGTTGTGGTCCGTAAGAGCGTAACATCATTAGTGATAGAAACAAATCTGCGGAAAGGGGGGTTAGTTCATCGGGTTCCGTATACTAAATCTCGGGAGAAACTGCAGGAATTGTTTCTGAGTGTATGCGTGTTGTTTTGTAAATATAAACACTGCAACCTATTTTAACTTGTTTTTGTGTCCTTTTAAGCAACGCGATATGTCTGTTATGACCAGAGTGCCAAATTTTATTCTTTAATTTTGATCTTCTCCACACTGTGCATAATTCATGACATGATATTTCAACGTAAATTATCGGGAAGGCGCCTTCCGATCACCTTTGTCTACTTTGTAAGTCACGCAAGCGCGCAAGCGTTACGACCGATCACGTTTACGCAACGTTTTAGGACAACTCGGCATCTAATCTCCTTCAATTGCTGTGAAAACCTAAAATCCTCAACGTAGAAGATAAACGAACGAAGTTTGAACTGTCAAAAGGAGATCTTGGTCAATTCCAAGAATCATGCAAATAATCTTCGACACGAGCGCAATTGAGCAAACACATGGATTTGCGTTGTTTTTAACAAGTTGGTGGATGGAAGCTAGAGATATACTGTTGTAGTTCAGATAAACAACGTAACAGACATTTTATTCAAACTCTGACATCTGAAGCACATGCCTCATGCGCATGTGCCAATACATTTGTGTTGCGTAAGAAACTATGACATCCTCCCTTTTCCAAATGAGGAAGGAGAAGAACAATCATGTAAAACAAAATACGCACAACAGAACTAACGAGATTAAACAAAAATTAAGCAATGTTCACGGTTCATGCAAATGTTCATGATCCTAAACTGCAACAATAACTTGGTAAGAAAGTCAGTTTTGAGTTCAGTTCATAGGTTCAACTTGGCAGGGGGTTTGATCACCCTGGTGGAACGACGCAGTGTAGTCTCTTTGGTCACAGGTCCTGGTGTGGTTGCCGGGCTAGGTGCCAGGGAGGTTGGTGTGGCCTGCTCGCTTGTGGGGGTGCTTTCATTAGATAGTGCGCTTGGTGAGGTGGTGCTGGTTCCGGGTTGTGGTGCTAGCGGGAGCTCTGCAGTTTCAACGTGGCTGCCATTCTGCAACGTTATGGTCTCTCCTGTAGGGCGGAGGTGGCGGCGGTTACGCTGGCGGACACTGCCATTTGCCATGTCGACGAGGTGAGAGCGAGGGGTCTGCATGTTGCATTTGACGACACCTGGTTCCCACTTGTGGCTGTGGGGATTGAAGACACGCACAGGATCTCCAGGGTGTACCGCAGGGAGGGGTTTGGATGTTTTGTCGTATTGCAACTGTTGCTTTTCCAGCCTTGCTTGGAGTTTGGAGTTGGTATCGCCATCTGCTGATAAGGAGAGGCTTGGTTTGGATATTGCTGGAAGGTTGGCTTGATAAACTCTTGAGTTCAAGAGTTCTGCTGGCGACGGAATACTGTGATCAAGAGGAGTGCTTCGCAGGCATAGCATGGCGAGATGAGGATCTGCACCAGATTCCTTGCACTTTTGTAAAATGTTCTTTACTGTTTGCACAGTTCTCTCGATAAAACCATTGGCCTGTGGAAAGTATGGGCTAGTGGTTGTGTGGACAAATCCATAGCTACTGCTAAACTCCTGGAATATCGCGGAAGTGAACTGAGTATCATTGCCAGTGACGAGTTTGCTTGGAATGCCATGCTCCTCAAATATGGATTTCAGGTGGGCAATTGTTGTATCTGATCGGATGTTGCTCAACTTCCTCACTATAGGGAATTTGCTATAGTAATCAGATACTAGCAAATAGGGCGCATTGTTCCAAAAGAACAGGTCAGATCCAAGAGTGTGCCATGGTTTCTGAGGAACATCATGGGGCATGAGGGGCTCCTTCACATTCATTTTTTGGTTGTGTTGGCATGGAGCACAGCCTTTTACCATTTCTTCGATGTCTCGGTTTATGTTGGCCCAGAACACTGATCCCTTGGCACGGAGTTTACACTTTTCTGCGCCCTGGTGTGCATAGTGCAGCTGCTGCAATACAGCCGATTGTAGGCGTTTAGGAATGAGGATGCGTGTGCCTTTCAAGATGATGCCATCTGCGACGGTTAGTTCATCGCGATAATTCCAATATGCATGTAGGTGGGCTGGGCATTCCGATCTTGTATCAGGCCAACCTTGTGTGATAATTGCACGGAGTGAGAGGAGAACTTCATCTTTAGTTGTTTCCTCTTTAATTTCATTGATCCTTGTTGGGGTGGCATTCAGGTGGAGGTGCAGTTCATGGACTGATACATCAAGACCTTCGATTGTGTCGCCTGGGAGTGGGTTAATTCGAGACAGCGGGTCAGCCAGTGGAACGTTCTTTCCTGGAACATACTGAATTTCCACATCATACTTTTGAATCCTAAGCATCATTCTTGCGATGCGTGGCGGACAGGACGAGAGATGTTTCTTGAAAATCGCCTCTAACGGCTTGTGGTCTGTCTCCACAGTGACATGTCGGCCATATACATAATAGTGAAACTTCTCAAGGCCATGTACAATAGCAAGCATTTCTCTTTCAATGTTTGAATAACGGGTTTCAGTTTCAGTTAGAAGCTTGCTTCTGTATTCAATAGGGCCTTTGTCCTGAAAGAGAGTCGCACCAAGACCACGCGTGGATGCATCAACTTGGATGGTGACCGGTTTTGTACTGTCGAAGTACTGGAGTGAGCTGGTAGAAGTGACTGCCTCCTTCACCTTGTCGACGGCTGACTGGTGTTCTGGGCCCCACTGGAATTCGCTGCTCTTCTTTGTCAGATCCCAGAGGTTAGCTGATAGGGAGGCTAGGTTGGGTACAAAACGACTGAGAAACTGTACCATGCCAAGAAAGGTTTGTAGGTCAGCAAGGCTCGCTGAAGGATCCATGTTAAGGATCGCTTCCGTCTTCTGTGGGTCTGGTCTGAGACCGCTGTCGCTGATGATATTTGCAAAGAAGGGTATTTCAGTACACCTTATCTTGCACTTGTCTGGGTTGAAGCGGAGGCCAGTTTCGCGTGCTCGTTCCATGACAGCTCTCAGGTTAGCGTCATGGTCACTCTGGTCACGCCCATAGATAACTATGCCGTCGGCAATACCTGTGACACCTGGGAGATCACCGAATGCCTCGTCAACCTTTTTCTGAAAGATGTCCTGGGCACAGATGAGGCCGAACGGGAGCCTCAAGAATCTGTATCGCCCATGAGGTGAGTTGAAGATGGTGTACAAGGAGCTCTCGTGGTCGAGTTGGATGTTCCAGTAGCCGCTGCGGGCGTCAACAATAGAGATGTATTTGGCGTCACTTAACCTTGGTAAGACCTCATCGAGTGTTGGGGTGTGGTGGTGTGGTCGCTTGATGGCACGATTGAGGTCCTTGGGGTCGAGACACAGCCGAAGTGTGCCGTTGCTCTTTGTTACGTAGACCAATGAATTAACCCAGTCAGTGGGTTCGTCCACTTTGATAATGATGCCTTGCTGGACAAGGGCATCAAGTTCCTTTTTAAGTGGTTCACGTAGTGCCTCAGGTACTCTCCGTGGGGGGTAGATGACTGGTGGAACTGTAGGATCCAGAGTAATGTGAAACTCCCCCGGAAAACAGCCAACGCCCTTAAAGCAGTCTTCATACTGGATGAGTAGCTCCTTCTTTGCATCTGCATTGCAAGAGGGTTTTGGTGTGGACTTTGTTGCCCCTGGCGAGGTGGCAGTGGTGAGGCTGTAGTTGAGGGTGACGAGTTTCATATCTCTACAGGTAGGGAGACCCAGGATCGTTGGCCCAGTTGTGTTCACCACGTGGAAAGGGTACGGCTTGGAGTGTCCGTTGTGTGATAAGTTAAGTTCGCAAGTTCCATAGTGCTGTATAGTGTGACCACCGAAAGCGGTAATTGTTGTGTTAGAAGGACACAAACCGAGAGGTGCGCCATCTGGGCTGTACGCTGACTGTGGATACAGCTGTTTATACCTGTTGACAGGAATGACATTTCCCTCGGCTCCTGTGTCGATTTTGCACAGTAAGGGCATAGTGCTCTGACCTGCGTCCACTTCTATCTGTAACAAGACTTGAGTGTCCCTTTCGACAACACTGTCTATATACAAGGAGTGGAAATACAGTTGCGGGGTATCCAGCGTGTGTGGAACATCGATACTCTGTACTGTTGGACAGTCGGTGTTGGGCTCTGTGGTGTCTATGGCATGTACAACTTGTGGTCTGTGCTGTTTATCCCTGGTTTTGGCCCTTGGGCGGGAACGGCAAACGGATCTCCAGTGGCCAAACTTGCCACAGGCATCACATTTTGTTCCATATGCTGGGCACGATCTACGGGGTGGATCGTGGAAGGTGCCACAATTTCCACACCTTTCGCCTTGGGTGCCCTGTGCTGGTGGTGTGTTCATGTGTTGCGTGTTTCGGCCATGTTGCAGAGCATCGACTGTGGTGATTTGGCTACCTCTGATGTCCTGTAATTGATTACTCGTGGCTTCCTGGGTTCTTGCAATGCTCACTGCTTTGTTAAGTGTCAGACTGGCATCATACTCGAGGAGTTTTGACTGAACGCGCGGATTGTTCGATCCAAAGATAAGAGTGTCGATAATATGTTCATCAGGGTTTGTGAACTTGCACTCGTTTACTAAAATCCGTACTTTCTTTAGGAATGAATCGAATGATTCGCCAGCTTCCTGCTTCAGGGTGCGGAGTTTGTAGCGTGCAAGCCTGAAGTTGCTTCTCGGCGCCACGAAGTCCTCGAACTTTTCCCAGTATGTGCTGAGCTTTTTCTTTTCGTCGGTTGTTAGCGACCACGTGGAAACCAGTTCGATTCCTTCTTCGCCTGACCATATTAAGAGGTAGCTGACTTGCTCTTCCTCGCTTTTATCCTTTAGCGGACCAGCGAAATAAAGCTGACAGAGGCTTTTGAATTTCTTAAGGGCTTGCGGCGCGTCGGTTGAAGACCAGTCCATTCGGGGAATCGGTAGTCCGGCGAGCGCTGCCATGATATCTGCTTGCGACGTAGCGTTTCGAGGCGAACGAGTGGAATGAAGAACAAGGACGAACGGCGGGTAAACGTTGAACGAAGACAAGGAACCGACTTGGTCTCTGAATTCGTTATCCCACTTCTGACACCATGTTGTAGTTCAGATAAACAGCGTAACAGACATTTTATTCGAACTCTGACATCTGAAGCACATGCCTCATGCGCATGCGCCAATACATTTGTGTTGCGTAAGAAACTATGACATATACCCGCGGGTTTGAGGTAATCCGTGACCTCATTGGTGTATAAACTATACAATGATATGCCTTTTCGGCCCGATTAACGCCTGCGTTTTGAGAGGTCTTTCGTACAAAGTAGTGAATTTTTGATATGCAAATTAAGGTCGAAGAGAAGGGTCTCCTCTGATCACGCTGGTATTAAAAAAAATTCCAGCTGAAGTTTCCATATTTTGTCTGTGAACTAACTGAATACACCTTGTAACTTGTAGCAAGAGAGAATTCCGTGATCTACATTGTTGCAGTCGCTGCGCGCCAGACAAAATCTTTGAAATTGACACTTTCGATCGCTGTTCACAGGGGTCGTCTGGCCAAAAATCATTTTTGGCTTGTGGCGAAGCAAAAAAAGAGAATCGGAGAACAACTAAACTATTTCTGAAACATATGTCCTGAACCCTTTTCATGGGCAAAAAATAAAAGAAAACCTTTTTTCCGACGGGAAGTCGAGAGGAGCGCTCTTAGCGAGAGCGGCACTTAAGAGGTTCTGAGGTTCTCGACTGAGTGTTCATCATCTCCAACTAAGTAGTCATACAAATGTGAACTCTGGTATTTTGCCAAATTTTTGAGACCAAGAACCCCCCCAAAAAAAAGGGATGAGGAGGTTGCCCCTTGTTTGTGGGAGCTTTTTCTCTAACTTCCACTCAAAAGATTCCACGACTTCTTCGATTTTTTACACATTTTTACACAACTTTAAAACTTTCAGCCCTTCTCTCTCCTCTTATCACTCAGCTGAATTCCCCGATCGGAAAGATATTTTCTCAGTTTGTCTACCTTAATCGCGGAGAAGTTCGAAGTTTCTCCGAACGGTATTGCTATGTTCACCAAGCCTCTTTGGGATGTGATAAATTCGGTACCAGTTACACGCACTTAACAATTCGGAAATGAGTTATTTAATAATTGCTCTATTACATGCATATTTCGAATAATCTGCAAAAAGAGAATATTTCTCTCTAGCTTTGCAAAAAATTTGAGAACACTAAACGGACGAAGTTCTAAGAAACTAGGCAGTATGTAATATCCTGAGTAAAATATCCGTTGCAGAGATTGCATTTATTATGCTAAATAAGCACGCTATCGTATATTGATTGAGTTAGCTCTCGACCAATCAGACTTTTCATAGTCATTCTAATGTATCACTATTGACGTTACTCGCATATCTATACAGGAACGTGTGAGAAATATGAGTTCACCTGTGGAAATGGAAAGTGTCTCAGCAAATATCTTCGTTGTTGGAATGGAAATAACTGTGGTGATAATTCAGATGAACGACAGTGCCGTAAGTGTGTTTTTACTAACACTTCTGTCTTATATTGCAATCACCTTTCCTCTGGGCTGATAGTTAGCAGTGCATTTATTCAAGTCAGCCTGTACTTTACATGTCAAGATACAAACAGATACTCTCTTTCGATCTCTCCCTTTTTTCTTCAAACATCAACGAAATCATAATAGCAACTTTAATATGGACCAAATAGGAAAAATGATTTTTGTTCTTATTGTTGTTACTACTAACTACATAGGATGCCTTGCTCCACTTTCCATTTGAGTTGTTCTTTGTTTTGTTTTGTTTTCCTTTTCCTTTTTTTTTAATTTTGTGTGTGTTTATTTTTAACTGCAATTGCAATGATCAAGTCCTGGTCACTCAATGCTGTATTTATTTGTGATTGTTTTCTTCTTTTCTCAATTTTCAAAAAAATTTACACGGAAACACTAGCTCCGCGTAAGTATCTTTTGGATATTTCATTGACTTCCTCTCCTTAGAGAGCGGTAATTTTACTTGCCATGTAGGGGAAGGGGAAGAGAGAGGGGGGTAGGGTGTGGATAATTTTGTTTGTGTCATTTCAAATTCAGTTTTAATTTACAATTTTCATTTTCCCTTTCTCATAGCGGTTGTGTCCAAATACCAAAAATCTTTGCAGGAGTTGAGGGTCCCCAATAGGTTTTCCAGGATCCGGGATTGGGCTTATTTGCAGGAGCGAGATGCGGGATTGTCACTATGAACGGCACACGAGAATCGGCAATTTTGAGGGGCGGGATTCGGGAAACAATAATCTAAACGCACCGAGAACCGGGCCATCCGTTGACGGGAATTTATAAAAAGATTGTTCTACGTCAAAGTCCTAAAAAGCCAAAGCCTAGCTTCCCACGCAGCCGTTTTTATGAGATCGTGTTTCACTTCTTTCCACAAACGCGTTTATAACCTGGTGAGTCTTACGACCATAGAAGTGGAGAGTGCTCATTCAGTTGTGCATTTATTACAAAGATCCACTTTGATCGGTGTTAATTTACGCAAGAAACTTTGAAAATGCAGACAAAAAAGCCTTAGAGAGGACAACCCAGTAAAGGGTGTATTATTTTACAAATTCAAAGTCTTTGTATCCTGCACCCGAACTTGCCATGATCCTGTCGGCCATACCGACATACCATTCAAATAATATCACCTGTACCAATAGCACCATAGAATATGCAGAACATGAAGGACTGGGCGCAAACATTTTGGTGTTGCGGTGCGTCAGATGGAAAAAGCTGGAACTCTCCCGTCGTACCTCGATTAGAGAGAAATTCAGCCATGTCAACCGCTCAGCTTCGAACTGTCTGACCTCAGGGAGCAGCAAAGAAAAAAAAAAGAAAAAAGACAGACGAAGAGGAAAATGAGATATTAGAGTAAGATTCCCTAACAGCGATGAAGAATCGAATAAGCCATTTCTGGACGACGAGACCAGATGTGATGATGGTCACTCTATCTTTGGAACGAGAGACTCATTATCTCCGCGGAAGATTTTTCCCGCTTTGGAGGAAGTATTCGCTTCAACAGCAAAATTGTGTTCAGTTGACTTTTCGTAGTTTCCCTTGTTATGGAAGCAATGGGATTGCCGTCACCTTTTTTTTTGTTTTATGCACTTGTTGACAATTTTATTCGTTTCCTTGATACTGACCTGTCTTTACTTATATGTTTATCCGAGATCGAAGTTAGAACGGAAGGAAATCGTCTCCGTGACTGGCGTAAGTTATTCGTGAAAAACTTTGAAAACTTCTAAAATGAATGGTATCGTTTGGAGAGAGTTAAACTTACGCCTCGCGGTGAGCAAAGACATCAACAGATCAGTGCTGGTAGAGAAGATCATCACCCATCGTAAAAGGCCCTTTCAAGTTGAGCGAATGGACGAAGAACAAAAATTTATGATCGGGATCAGGATTGGCCGGTATAAACCGTCGGGATTACGGGACTTAAGTCGGGATCGCGCGATTAAAGAACCCTATTGGGGACCCTTGGTGTTTGTTCATGATATGTAAATCAGAATTCGAAGTATTAAAGTTTGACATTAAGCATAACATCAAGTTCATTTTAAAACTGAACTTATTCAAGGGAGATTTTAGCTTTAATTACATGTTTTGCATCAATGCAATAAATACTTTGACCCTTTTAGAGAACTGTAATGTGCGTAGCCAGGTTCCCAAAAGAACGAAGGAAAGAAGGGAAGAAGGGGGAGAGGGAGGGGGGAGGGGGAAGTGGAGATGGGATAAATGAAAAACTCAAATTTCAACAGTCCCTTCTTTCATCTCCGTTATTGACGACTGACCCTTCCTATGTTCTCCATGACAAAACCATGTGAAACCCCCCAGAATTCACCACCCACCCCTCTTTCCCCACAGATGAGTGATGGTGACTGGTCCCTGATGTGTGGTTATCGGTAAACTCGCCCCAAAAAACCCCTGTGTGTTCACTTAGTTAATCATTTATTCATTGTTTGTCCTTCATACTTTCCTGTAACTTTTTCGGGACAAAGGTAATTGAACTTTTGTCCAAGCGTAGAAGCTACCTTCTTGGAGAATTTAGGCGTGTGGGATTCACATTTGTTTTACAATCTGTTTTTATCTGTCTTTATAAGCAGAGTCTTGAGTACGAAATATCTATTAAAAATGACTGATTTCATTCTATTTTGATTTGGTTTTTTAACGCTTCCCCTATATCATACATTTAACGTTGAAATTAAGTTTCAAAAAATGAGGGAAGTTAAACCTGTTTATATTTGCCTGTTTCGTATATAGTGACCTTGCTTTTAACTACCTGAGCCGACGATCAGGACAATAATATCTTCCCAGGTTTACAGCAAGAAGAGAAGTTCTGGCAACAAAACTTACATAAATTCTCCCTTCCCTAAAGCAGAAGCCAAAACGTTTGAAACAACATGCTCCTCTGTTGCTAAGGCGTTGATATCGACTGTGTACTAACCGGTGATTTTCCTTTTCTTTCCTCTTTCTACGTTTTTAATGAACTGCTCCTCGGAAACTACAGGAAGTAAGTGGTCCTACAATTTCATAATTTAGATGTTATCTCTTGCATGTCATAATTATAACAAAAAAGCTGTTAACCACTTCTAGCTGCAACCTTTCTTTGCTAACTAAACACTACTAGCGGCATAAGAGAAGATCGGGAAGAGGAATCTGCCTTTCGGTCTGGAAAAAACCCATGGTATGAGATAATATGCCCAGGCCAATACCTTTATTGATGGAGAATTATATTTCACGCACTACTCAGGAATCTTTCAATTTTGCATTTCACCTGTTTTGAACAATGGAACAATAGATCTTTTTATTTTTCGCTGCAAGGAAAATCTCATAACACCACGATCATGGGGAAAAAAACTGTGGTTATAATCCACCAATTGTTCTTTGTACCCGTTTTAACATTTGCATCCGTTTTACATGGGAGACTCTTTTCTTGGCAATTAGAACTGAGTCATTTTGTTACGCGAGTAATCTTTTAGAGGAAGGGTAGCTCGGAGACCAAACTGAACTCAGGGTTGTCGGAACAGCAACAAGAAGATTTATTCTAGAGAATGAACGTAGTTTCCACGAAGTTAAACTCTTACTTACTCGGCCACCGCCAAACTGCACTTAATCTTGATAAATTCACACGACCTCCGCCAACTTCAATAAATACTGCTTCGTCACACTTGAATGAACACGCTAGAGTCAAGCTCTCTTCGCTTGTGAAAACTGGTTCAAACTTCGCTTGGACTCGCCTACTTATATACTTACACAATAAATATCTAGAACTTTCTAAATTGTCTAATTATAGAAAGAATACAAAATAAACCGCTTTACGAAACGCTTGCGCAATACACTAAAATAAACAAACTATGACCTCTCGCGAAGCTTCTATAAGGTCACAAATGAATAAAGTCAAAGAAACTGCTGTCACGCAGGTAATTTACAATTTTTCGTAACACATTTTTAAATTACGTTCTATAAGGTTTCACGCATTTTTTTCGTAACACATTTTTGTTTTCATTACATCATAATAAAAAAATA